TTTTTTGTTCTCAACTTGGTAGACTTCCGAGCTCTGTTTTCAACGATTCGTGAAAGTACAGTGCAGTATGCTATCGATATAAATTATTTCTCTTAATTTGAGCTATGAAGCGAAGCGAATGGAAAATTATGAAGACAAAGATCGAGCACTTCACTAAATGCACTTTATGTTTTTCTCATTGATATTTACGAGTAGAGTAGTACAATCGCCTTCCTCTCATGTTTACGAAGCGTTGTACTTCGGTTAAGAGGGGGCACTACAAAGCAGTAATAGCAGCCCTCTTTCTGCACCCGACCCTTCATTCATCCCCATCGTCACGGTAAATGACGGGTAGTGTCATTGATTCGTTTGCTACATACATCCTCCTCCGCACATTTTGCAAATTTTTAATTTAACGGTATTTTTTTAGACCAAATTAATGCAATACAGTTGATATTACAAAAAGTGTTGCTGGCTAAGAAAATGGAGACGAACAAGGTACCTACATCTACTTCGACCACCGTATCAGCTACTTCAGCCGCTATCAATCCATTGTTTGATCCGGTTGCACTGCAAACAGCATACTTTGCTGCTGCTCAGCTGCACAACCAATTACAGCAAAATTCTCATTTAGCTGCTACTGTTGCTGCTGCTGTTGATACAACTGCTGTATCAGCTTCTACTATCACTACTACTACCGCCAATAATATCCAGACAGCATCACATAAAGCTACAACACCACCACCCTCACCAGCAACATGCCTTCCATCATTTGTAGATAACGACCGACTCTATTCTTTACTGCCACCACAGTTACAATATTGCTTAAAGCAGCAGCAGCGTAACTTCCTACAACAGCAACAACAATCAATAAATACCTCATTGGCACATCATTTCTCAGCATTTTCACCCATAAATACGGATTTACCCGGTGCGCCTACATCCACTGCTACTACCTTACTTACACAGCCCTCTCCACTACCTCCCATACCTACTGTACCTTCCGTAGCACCACCACAGCAGCCCATAGATTTGCTTCTTATGCAAATGCAAATGGCCACAGCTGCTGCTGCCGCTGCTGCGGGATTTTTCCCTACTGCCTTCAGCGTCCTTCCACCAGTTACTGCTGCTGCACTGGGACTCTTAACGCCACAGTTTCGAATGCTACAACTTGGTGATCCGAACTTTTCAGCGTATTCAACCTCAGCAAATACGAGTGGTATATTCACGACAGATATTAGTAGTAAGGGTGCCGATGATACATCCGCTATCGAACGATCCCTACTGCAAGCACAGGTTCTTGATTTTTTCTTGTAAGCAATCAAATGCAAAACATCGATATTCTTCTGTCGTTCTATGAAAACATGCTAATGTGGGTAAATTTGGATCTTACTAACAAGTAACACCCATCCGTTTACTCAAACCATCTCCAGTGAAATTGTCAGAGGACATTTGGCAAGGCTTCTTAGAAATATACAGTCATCACGTGTTTAATTTAGGATATGCATACATTCTAATACATAAATAGACTATGATTTCAGTTTTTTTTCCTATTTGTAGATTAATTTGTTGACAAATGGATCGTCATTGTCGTCTGTTGTGAATGAGCATACATGTGCAACTGGCACGGTATCTAATGCGTCACCTAACGGTGTCACGTCTTCCCCCATACAACAGCTAAATCCTCTGTCAAACCGCAACTTTTCATCACATAACAATAATGGTAATAAACAGCAGCGTATGCAAATGAAAAGGCCTTATGATGAAATGTCAATACTACGATCTCTCTGTAGTGAAAATCACACCGCCGAACAAGAAGCTGCAGTGATATGCGGGAAGCGGAGCAGATTAGTTGCCGCCGATGAGAGCGGACGACGGAGTCTGCAGAAATCCACGAAAGGTTCTTTATTTTTAAAATTTAAAGCAAATGTAAGTTGAGGTCTGAAATAAAATGAACTCGAATGTTTTATGACAGTTCTGATTTCATATCGCTGTTCAATCTCCCTTTCATTATATATATTTTTTCAGCTTGCCACAACTCATCTAAGAGCATGAGGGAATTAGTCATGTTTCTACCCGTGCTTTATCTTATTCATGTTTACAGTTCTTTCCGAGACGAAATTGTAAATTCTGTTCGTAATCTTCACTTTTTTCTATTAATGTGAGGAAAGCGCTGTGTTTTCCATTGGCCATCAACTTTTGTATCTTAATTCGTTTTAATATCATGAACTAAAAGACCACCGCCAAAATAACCTGTTATTTCCAGAATTGCTCAGCAGAAAATATTAATTTTACTTTCGCTGACTTTCTATTTTAAGAGTATGCCAGTTGTAAACGGTCAGAGTTTCACAGTGTTACGATAGTGAATGAAGCTTGAGTATTCGCAAATTTCTCTCCACGATCAGCTGAGACGAGTGGTGTGATAGTTTTTCATTTTCAGCTTGTAACCCAGGGAAAAATCAACAGCAGTATTTAGCGGAGCTGGACAACAAAAATTTATCGGACGGGAGTTCGAAAAGTAACAAGAAAAGTGATGAAAAATGTGTAACATCAGGCCTGTTTGATGAAAATTCACCAGACCGTCATCATCCCTTAAATGTTCGTTTATTTTTCTTGTGATTCGGCTTCTACGCATTTCGATCGCACGCTCTCAGTCAAGTTTTGTAGGCTTTTTTGTTGTTGAAACTATCGTATAAACTTGCACGCAATGCTTGCGTGCAAGTTTTCCAAGAAGTGGTCTTCCCTTTCCTTCGTCCTTTCAAGATAACCAAATCTGTGAAGTTTGTCAAGTGACACATGGAGGCGTTTTATCGACCTACTATATTTCATTTTTGGCTACGAAATTGTATGTTTATCATACCGCCCGTCTAAAATAAGACTATTACAGCACCGTCCACCAGCTATGGAAGCACGATTTCTGGAATGTATGGCAGCTATTGCCCTTCATTCAAGTATTTCTTTGCCAATCAAAGATGAAAATCCGACTCGCAATACAAATGTCGGTGGGAGTAGAACAGAAGAAAACGGCATTAATAGTAAATCGGAAAGAGAGAGGCAATCTACCAAGGATATAGAGTTAGAAAATTCAAGCAGAACAGGACTGAAAAGCGTCCCACCACCTGATCGGCTTAGACCTAGTGAAAATACTTCCACCGCTACCATTAGTCCGAATGAGAATGAAAACAAAAAATACTGGCCAAATTCAGCAATAGATGAAGAACTCTGCAAAGAGCTAGAAAATTACAAGAATTCGGACGTCCCGGTGATCCATGCATTTGTCTTACCGGCAAAGCTATCCGATTCAACTTCGTCTCTCATTTCTGATGAAAAGTGTTCTCAAGATTCACCAGGTACAATGGTACCAGAATCAGTTGCTGTACCGGTTCCAATCCTCAATACACTTTTAGATCGCATTCTACAAACTATGCTTGATCCCTAGTCATGTTATGTAGTTCCCTATGTGGATTTTCGGAAATTTTTGAGGACATACTCTGTATTCAAGTAGGCGACGGAAGAAATCAATTTTCATCATTTGTGAAAACTCCCCTAGATGTGTTTGAAACTAATGGAAATCCTGGTTCGTAGAGTTCCTTCCTAACGGAAGTAGTAAGGAAAAAAGAAATTAAATCGAGTTCAAATATTACGACAATTGATCGGTTCATTATGGTGCAACTTACTGCGCAACGAAGTGATCTACTAGCCATGTCAATTTTTCATGTGTAGGTGTGCTTTCAAACTTTTTTTATCTCTAGAAATTTACAGTTAGCTGTAATCCCTAAACTGTCAGCTTCTTTTTTGTTAGTAACTCGCGATTATTTAGTCAAACGATTTCTAATACAAATTCATTTTTCGGTAACCTTTAATTCGCTATCGGCAATCTAAATTGTAGTATTAATTCCCAATAATTAAGTCTCTCAAAAAATGGGAATGTTGGGAAAAAATAGCTAACAGGAATGAGAGACGATAAAAAAACTTAGAACTTATTGTTATCGCAGTGTTTGATGAATTCTTTCTAGCGGTAGTTGTTCCATTTTTACTATTCGATTTCTTCTTTGTCGTATTCTTCTTCATCGGTGCTGGATGAATTTCAAAAAAAAAAGTGGCTAATTGGCAGGTAGAGCTTCTACAAGCAGCTGCGCCATCAATAAAAGATATACTAAATTCAGGATAAGTAAGTCTGGTATCTATTATTCCTTTTACTAATTTTATTCTTGTTATAACTCCTTCAACTGAAAATGTTTGAATGTAGTTCAGGAGTAATATCTTCGGACCTCATCATTTACCTCTTGTCATAACTGGTCACTAAAAAAACGGTCTTCCTACTTTCTACCTCATTATACTTTCCGTTTGATTTGATGTTGGACTGATCAAGTTTTTTTTTCTTTATTGTAGAAAGTAATTTTTCTGACGTGTAATATCAACTCTCATGGATACTGTGTTTTATTGTTGTCGTGTGCCTACACATTTTTTGTCTATATATAAGGGTTGATCTTTTCGTATTTGAAAATAATTTGCATCTCATATTTGTTTGCTTACATTTTCCACGAAAAACAGAGATGGGGCAATTATGTGAATCCATGAATATCTATTTACAAAGGTAAATTTCTGGACTTAGATCAGGTAGTTTGAGTGTTTGTTTACTTCATACTTTAATATTATTTTAGCAAATAGGCTTCAGACTTTAGAACTATGTATAGTTAGTAAGAGAGATTCATTTGTCATTAATTGCCAGAAGTTTTCTGCCCTCTCTTAATTTGACTCCATCCTCCTCCTCCCTCCTTCCTCAATCGCTGAAGCAAAGGACAGTGTCAATAGAAAACTGCAACGAAAGTTCTAAACTAGGAGTAAATATTATAGTGATGCTGAAGTAATAAGGGAAGGGGAAATGGCCTATCATCGTGGACAAATTATTGGGATCAGTGTGGAGTTGTCTTCAACTACTTGAAATTTTCAATGAAGTAACCCAAACTTCATTGAAGAGTAATATAGCAAAAAAAAAAATTTAATTATAAGAAACTAACCATTCCGATTTCCATGAACGTATCTGCCAACGCAGCAAGTTTTGACATAGGGTTGGAATGTGAACTAATTTTCTGCAGCGCTTGAATAGCTGACTTATAGAATTTCTTACGAGCAGTTGTGCGAATCTGCAAATCATAGACCAATTTCACCTCTGAACAGATCCAGCGTAGATGGATGTCTAAGTATTTTGTCTTTCACTCGTTTTCATGGACAGTACGCGGTTGAGCTCACGTATTACCGCCATTTGCCTTGCACTCAAGAGAATAGGAAGCCAGGATGCATTAATTTAACTTGACTGGGAACTCACCAATGACATATCGAGATCATCGACATTTTCAGTATTAACCGGCCAGAGATCCCTGTAAAAGTTCATTTCTCGAACAAGTTATTGTTTTGTCAGATGGTATTTTCAAAAGTGGTTGTGGGTCAGGTACTTATCTGTGCTTTAAATGCTTCAAATAGTTTATGCACAATCAAATAAAAGATTTCGAAATAAGCATCAAAAAATCCATAATTCATAAACATAGCACCGAACAAAACCGAGTCGAAAAAGTTCGAACACACTTCACTAAATTCTATGAGGCTTCCCGTAAGAATTTTATTAAGTTCTAGGGGAATTCTCATGAGAATAAGCGCTTTAATCCCGCGAAACTTCCGTACTTCATTAAGTTTTTTCGAATCTGTCTTACCGGTCGATCGTCTTCTGGAAAAGAATTATTACCTATGGTTTAAGTTGATTCAAATTATAAAATTAGTCTAGCTGCTTAGTAAATCATTAAATTTAACTGTGACATAGAATGGTACTTAAGAAAGCACTGTGAATAGAAAAGAAAAGGTGAAAAATACAACTGAGAAACTCAAATTCAT